TAAGGGCAATATAGACATTCTAAAAGAGGAATAGTTGCTGCCAACTCAATCTGGTGACTTTCTGGCTGAAATTCCCTGTAAGCCTAGCACTACCCTTTTATTTATTACTTAATAGTACGTGTGTGTATTATTATTTCTTAGGATTTTAGGGACCAAGGTGCAATTTCAATTAAATAGGCAATAGGTTTAGGTCTTTATCATCTATCGACTATCGTAGACAGTATTGGACTGGGCTTTTGTTTCATAAAATTTAATATAACGAGAAATTTCTCTCCAAGTTTGACTCAATTTTCAATATTCACGTCAAATAGACGATTATATATCGATCTTCTTGTTGTGTTCTCGATTATTATCTCTTCTACATCAACAATCATTCCTGATGGGATGCTGTGACCAAGGCCAAGGAATGATGGTGTTCTTGAGATACCCATGTAGTACCAGGAATTGCGATGCCAAGTGAAGGCCTTTAGGGCCCAAATGGCAATTCCGAATTATAGGCAACACCACTGTGGTGGTAGTCACAGAGTAGACAGTGGAGGGGCTATAACTTTCGCTATTTATGATTTGCATGTTCATCGAATGATTGTAAAAACCGTTTTCTTAAATGGGGATTTCGATGAGGAGCTTTACATAATTTGAAATGTTTGTTTTACCCAGTATGAACATGAAGTATACATATTGGTAAAATCACTATATGATTTAAAACAAGCTCAAAAAAAAAAAAAAAAATGCACAAGAAAATTGACGTAGCTATAATATCTTTTGATTTTGTTCGTAATATTGTAGATAAATGTATATATTTCAATGTATGAGATGAACATATTGTATTTGTTTGCTTATATGTTAATGACATGTAAATTATACGTAATCATATGGAATGATTTGAAGAAATAAAGAGAGGTTTCAATCTTTCACATTTAAGATGAAAGATCTTGAACAAGTTGATAATCATATTAGGTATCAAAGTAACAATAAATAGTGGGGTTATTTGTTGGGTCAATTGGATTATATTGAGAAATCATTTAAACAATAAAGAAGCAAAAGAAATTTGATCCAAGTATAAAACTTTGAGAAGAATGATGGAAGAGCATACAAATTGAGTGTGCAAGTGTCATTGGTAACATAATGTACAATCATGCTACATGAACAGACTCAAGGACAGATTCAAAAACAAAAGGGACACGTCTCCATACATTATTGGATAGTTTGAAAAATAAAAGAAAAATACATCCACACATACACTACCAATTAAGTCTGTTTGTACTGTTTCTATTTTTTAGCCTGGACAAGTAGCTTTATACCCTAATGTATGTGGTATAGTGTACAAGATTAGATATAGCATTTGTAGTTAGTAAATTTAGTAAATTTATTAGCTATTCAATTGAGAAGCATTAGAAAGCCATTGGTAGAATTCTTGGTTATCTTAACAAAACCAAAAACCTTGGCCCATGATATTTTATCTTTGACTATTTTAGAAGGGTATATTGATGCTAGTTGGATAGATAGCGTGTAAAAATATATTCATCTCAGGTTGAGTGTTTACTCTTAGAAGTGGTGCATTTTTTGGAGATCTAAGAAACCAATATGCATTACACACTAAACCGTGAAATTCGAATTCGTAAGCATTGGCTAAAACCGAAAAGAGGTGCAGCTTAGGGATCTTCTATATGAAATCCTTCACTGACGAAGAATACATCATAGTGAGGTTATTTGTTGAGTCAATTTTTTTTTTTAGAAAAAGGTTTAACCCCAACCTTGGAGGCCCCGTCTCACCCCTAGAGCATCGTGGATGAAGTAAATCCCGAGACGTGCCTCACCAGATCAAGGTGCAAGAGCTGTCATATTGGTGCTCACAAATAATCTAATTCATACATTTTAAGAGGTAGGAATCGAACCCTCACACTGCAGCTGACAACTCAACTAAACTACCTCACTCCATCCTTTGCACCACTGAGTTATACCCCGGGGGGCTTGAGTCAATTATTTTTAAATTTCATAATTTGCTGCTGCTAAAAATCACTCTCTCTATAGGAGAATATTTCGTCAAACAAAATGAAAACATATGTTTCAGAGAGACTACATTATTTCTCAACAAGTAAAGAAAAACAATTCCTAAAATATATTTAATTTGCTATCTCTAGTAAAAATTGGCAAAGTTTATGGGGATTTGAGATCATTGCCATGTGGTGAGATCATTGCCATGTGGTCAGCATCTTTTATTTCTTTTACTATTGCCGCACCACTATTTTCAATTTCCCAACGTTGGAATTCTTCATTCATTCCTTTATCCTGAGCACATATGATGAAAGCACGTTTTACAGACCCATAACCTTAATTGGAAAATGGGCATCTCTTTGACAAATCTTCCATAAAAACAGACATCGGCCTCACCAATGTTTTTGCTAATGCTACATCCTACCATAATGGATTATAACATTTGTTAGTAATCAATTTATAGCTGTATTTTACTTCGATTAGTCATTAAACTTTCAGTTGCTAAATTAATGGAAACATTAACTTGAAAACGTAGTATGCACTGTCATTTGACTTCATGTCGGATAAAAACTAATGTTTTAAAAATCGAAATAAACAAACATTGTTTGGAAAAAAAAAAAAATTTAGTTAACGTAAATTTTTTATTTTGTGATATTATATTACCTCAGGGGTGCAGAGGTGACACATTTCGGATAGGTACTTGGGGCCAAAAAGCATTGCTGTAAGTTTATCTTCCGGTCTACCAAACTGTATGAATTGAGTGTCCAATGAATTTCCCTTGGGGGTCTGCCAAAACAAGTTAATTAAAGTAATTTAAAATTTATCAATAAGACAAAATCGGTCTATCTTCTCTAATAAAATTGCTTAAAAATAATTCACGTCATCAATGTTAAAAGGGTCATGCTACTTATACATAAAGGTTTACATAATGATATATGATACTCTACCATTTGTCCGTTTAAAACTCCGATCAATTTTTTCATCTAATCTTTTTCCTTTACATCATTTGTCAATTTGAAACTCGGCAAGTTGTAGACTTGGGTTCAACTTTCCCCTCCCAATGAGACATGAACCCAAGTCTACAACTTGCTAAGGTTTCACACTTAACTTGAGGTAGGCCTTAATCTCTCAAATATCTCTATCCTCTTATTAATTGTTAGTAACATCTATATGATGTGACCTCTAATCACATGTTAATCTTTCTTATGATGGTTAAAACATGAAATTTTCTATTCACTCTAGGATATATTTATAGTAGTCTAGGATAACAAGCAATTGTAAAGGGGGCAATGTGAGAACTTTATTAAAATTTAAACTTTATGATCTTGCCAAGATCTTCATGTCAAATCATCAAGAAACTGAATTAACGCGGAACATACCTTAATAAATTGATTTCTGACTTGAATAATGAATATTGAATCTGAATCTGTAAATCTTCAGTTTG